AAGCAATTACGGAGCACAAGCCACAAACCACCATTCATACATTTCAGACAAGTGAGTCAGCTGGTCAGCAAAAGGTCCTGTCCACCCTATATCCTCTGCACAAGTCTGAATATCTTGAATAGACTGAGCATGGGGGACAATTAAATTAACTAAAGCAGCTTAAATCCCACTGACTTTCTATAGTGCTTGGCTCCTAAATCATTTAAGCATTTTTGAAAGTGTTCCTTATTGGCCTAGCACACAACTATTCAGTGAGACAAAACTTTGAGTGGGAGAGAAAATTCCATGTCTGGACGTACTTTCAATTCACTCAGCGAGGACATCATTGAGATTTCACAACACAAGTTTGATTACAGTTACAAAGAGTAGAAATAGCTGTCAAAGCATAACAAAGTGGTAAAATAACTTTAAAAAAGGATGGCAAAGCAAGCCTAGCAGCCTAATGTACTAAAGTCATCATAATGTGCATTTCAAATTACACTGAGATACTAAAGAATACAAAGCAAGCTTTCTCAGTGCATTAAAACCACTGCATCTTAGAAATTCTTATTATTTTGTTTAGATTATAATTTCAGTGGAATGACAAAAAAGCATAAGTTAACATTAATTAAACCCTGTGACTGTATTTAAATAACAAGCATGGGACTCCTGGAATTTGGACTTTCTCTCTCCCCTGGATATTTTCCAGAATCTTTCCTATCCACAAGCTTTCTCAGTGCATTAAAACCACTGCATCTTAGAAATTCTTATTATTTTGTTTAGATTATAATTTCAGTGGAATGACAAAAAAGCATAAGTTAACATTAATTAAACCCTGTGACTGTATTTAAATAACAAGCATGGGACTCCTGGAATTTGGACTTTCTCTCTCCCCTGGAGATTTTCCAGAATCTTTCCTATCCGCTCCTATGTCTGAGGAAGCATGCTTTTGTTTAGGCAGGATCCTTTGGGAATGATGAATTGAAAAACATTACTTCTTGCTAACAACACCCTAACAAATCATCTCGATCCTTAACGTGACCTACTGTGAATAAACTCTGTCTGTTTACAATTACTTTCTTTGCCCTGCAAGCTGTGGCAATCAAATCATATACAGCACGTACTCTAGCATCAGACTTGCAAAGGCAGGAGAGGAACTCAGGATCTTCCAGGTTTCCCATGAAGTACATGACAGTTTCATGGCAATTTCAAATCATGGTATGAGATTTCTAAAAGGAGATTTCTGAATTTTCCTAATGCAAACTGTGACATCGCCTTTGCCAGAACATTGATGAACAGGGATTGCTCAACCAGAGCTTAGTTTCAGGAGGTGTCAGCTCCTACTGCTTTCTTTAGATACATCATTCTTTACTTCAGTCTGCATGACTAATGACTAGAAACCCAGCTGCTAAACCAGCTAGTCCATCTGTTACCCCCTGTTAATAAATGTATAATTATGTTCACTCTCACTAAGGAGCTCATGATTCACCAGGATTGTCTTTTGGGGAGACATCTACTGAAGTGTATTATGTGCTTATATAAATGTGGCCGTGGATCCTATCTTTAGTAGCACAGATATATTATTTAGTATCTTTTTGGTATCTCTTCTGCCTGATAATAACATGAACCTGGTCCTTCAAGAGCAAGTTTTCAGTTGATAGTGCTCTAGAAAGCTTAGTAAGATTTAAAGCCAGGGAGCCATAACAAATCCCAGTGTCAATCCAAGATTTTTGTCAGTGACAAAATCTGACCTTTCGATGCCTCTCACTATGATGCTTCATGTTCAGAACACAAATAGTCCCAAGCAGAGCATGGCTACCACCAGTCTAAAAATACACAAATTAGATACGAGGTCACAAACGAAATGGCTGTTTGCCCTACTATAACCAAAGAGATATTTCTCAAACACTGTATTCAGGTACACAGGTTTTAGAGAGTACAAAATGTCAAAAATTTTTCCTCTAGTACACTTAGGGTCATTGCTAGGACAACAATCCTGGATTTCTGCTATCTTGTTTCACAAAAAGAAAGGACTGATTCAGTGTTTCCAACCCTTTGCTTATCCGAAGTTAATGAAACAAAATTTCTTTCCTCTTTTTATTTGGTGAAACAAGTCAATGATTTTCGCTGGAGGAAACGCTGGATTCCTTTCCTCATATGCCTTGATGTGGAACATCCATATGAATCTCTCTAACATGGGAACTGATGATTTGTTTCTTAAAACACAATTTCATAGTTCCAGTCGTACAACACTTAAGGCAAATAGAGAGCATCTGATGAGAGGCCACCTGACTGGGGACTATCTGATTCTCTAGCAGTGGATTAAAATAATGATGAACCAGAGCAAATAACACGGCCAACTAATCAGATTTGTCAAACTCTGCCATGACCATGTGACAGGAGATACCAATATGCCCGCAGACTTTCTTTATATTTAAGGATCAGGTAAATTACAGATGAACAAAATCCTCAGAGACATGGAAGTTTCAAGCTCCACTATAAAGGCCAGTGGTCAGGAGCTCTGCGGGGCAGGTAGCACTGTTTGGCTCCATAGTTACCTAATGTCTGCATAAAGAAATCTTGGCATCTGATCAAGAGACTCCCAGATGCCGTTATTGCAGACAGTAAATAACAAAAACAATTTTTAAAATTGTCCCTTGATTGAAGTTAATAGTCAAAAAACATTTTCTGAGAGTTTGGGGGATTTTTTGGAATGGGATGAAGTTTGGTCAAGCAGAGTAAAACAAGACTTGCAGCAAGTTAGAGCAATGGGAACAGTTTCTCCTACAACTATCATTAAAGAAAGCTAGGAAAGCCTTGTGAGTTAAAAACTACTTTTGTCAAAACCGAACTTTCAAAGTGGTTTGAATACACAGGTAATCTGAAATGACACTAATTTCTTCACAGGAAAAGATAATCTAGATACTTGTTTCTGAGATGACAAATGTTTTTTAAAAAGACATATAAAGTCTGTGGAAAATGATGGCTTACCTTCCTGAAATTCCCACATCAAGAAAACTTTTCCACTCAGGTTTACAAATATACTAAGACCTAATCGCAATACTTAAATACAAAGTATATACATTCTACAGCTTTCTCAATAAACGTTCAAGATCCTTAATAAAAACAAATATTCAGTAGTATTATATATTCCATATAGACCCAAAGTAATTTTTAATGGGAAATCTAACTGTGCCAGCCCAAACCTCTGTTCATGTTCTTTCTTCGGTCCATCCTGTTTCGCTTACAACCAGAGGTTTATGGGTTCACACAAACTGCTATCATTCATTTAAAAAGGCCTCCGGTTATTGTTGTGGGGCTGTCTAAATTGCAAATACAAGAAGCATCCTCATTATTTTCTACCCAGCATGGGTGGACAAAACTTGAAAGCATTAGGGTGGGTCGACAGAGGAGCTGCATTTATGTAATTTAGCTGGGGTATTGGTAAGTGTTGCATTATTTCTACAGATAATATCGCCCCAGCAGATGCTACCTACCTACCATTAGGAAGAGCTAATGTACATTTAGTCTTTCAGAGATTCCCTTTATGGATATTCTAGACGGTTCTAGACAATTTACAATATTCTAGACAAGTAAAGGGTCGAGTTTTTCAAGCACTGCCTCCATTTGTTCATATATAATCACTATGGAAACAAGTTTGAGAAGTGACACACATAAACCCATTAAGGCTGGCACAAATTATTGCTTACAATTTATATTATTTGCCTACATAAGAAAGATTGATGAACAGATTATTGTAAAACCTGAGAAGAGCATTAAAATGTTCCATACTTTTTTCTACAACAGTATGAAAGCAGTGGGCATGATCGCTGATCGTTTCATTGAATCGGTTTGTACACTAATATTTTCCTTACTGCTTTACTTTGCATTGCACTAACCTTTAAGTCAGTCTTGACAGATTTTTTCGCGGACATCGCTACACTATGAACTGCGGCATATTACAGCACCGCGTTTCCAGTAGCGCCCCGAGGACCACCCTGCCTATCTCCTACAAATACTCTCCAAATACGCCTTCATCCCCTTTAGAAATTATCCACCTTCAACCCCCCGCGACAAATTTGCATGATCCAGCTAGCTGCTGCCTCAGACCCGGGCGGACGGAGCACCGCCGTCCGCCCCCGCCCCTGCCCACCCCCGGGCCCGGCC